TCTGTGATCCTATCTTATTATTACTAAATGTAATGACTGATTGGTTATGACATAGTATAACCAATAACTTAGATGGATGTTGAAAATTAAATGAATTCATTAAATCATCATTTATCAAGTATAAATCATGGAATGTCGAGTGGTGGAGTGAACTTCTACGTAGATACCCCATAATCTCCTGTAAGTAATCAGTGTGAAGGTATCAGACTGTACGGTAAGAAATAAGAAATATGACATTATTATCTTTATATAATATAATCCACTCCTACTACCACCGATTCATACCAAAACCATGACACATCTTGTTTAGAAGGTCGAGGGTGGCGTCTTGAAGCCGAATTAAGGCTCATCTAGCAAGAACAATAGTAGTCGCCGATCTTATGTAAACCTAAATTATTTAAGCTGCTAAATTGTATACAAGTTAAGAGGGAAATGTCGAGTCTAGTCTTAAATTGGTCTAAAACGCCCCAGAAAACTGTTATTAAAGGAACTAAAAAACGGAGTTTTAAAATTTATAATAAAGTTTATTGTAGAAGTATGTCGATCATATCTATAGTTAAATAAATACAGCAGTTCGCGCTCCTCTAAATATTCCCCACTCTAGCCGGGTTCGTCCTTAACTGTCCACATAACTAAGGTAGGTAGGTCACGGTGCCGTGGGTGGAGCTGGATGGTCCACTTTCACATAGTGAAACTCAAATTCATCCCCTCACTGAAACATTGCCAGTAGTTGCGCCACGTAGATCTCGGATATCTGGAACAAGCAAGTAATCAGAGATTAAATATAGAAGTATACTTTGTATCAAACTCAATCACACAGAAATAATTCACTAAATACATTAATATATAACCAAGTTATATCAAATATAAATAGTAAATCAACAAAACTCATTTTTAACCAACACGAGAAATATACTCAAGAAAAATAACACCAGCATTTAAAGAATGAAGAGATGTATATCCATGGTTCCAGTAGCATTACTTCCTTTGAGGTTATGATCAGTACTGACCTCCCGTCACAGCTTTCAGAGTATTTAAGGACGGCAGTGGTGGGAGGGAGGAGGGGAGATACATGTGATTTAGGCGGGAAAATCTTAACTGGGCTAACCACCTTATCACAAGTGTTTAAGACATTTCATTTCTCGATAATTGTTCCATAAAACTTCACTATGTCGTGACTATTTATCGCCTTTCTATTGCTAATTTAATATTTTTCTATTTATAACTTGTTAATTTTTCACTATAGAGATTAATGAATGTGGTTTTACCGGGAGTTAAACAGGCGTAACAACCATTAGCGGCTTTACTGTGGTGGTGTCTGTTTCTGGCCGCCCATAGAAAGTCGTAGAATTCGTCATGCTATATTTATCAAAACTTCAAAAACCAGATCACAATTGACTTTGATGTGAAAGATTATGAATAAAAAAAATACAGCGCATATTAAAGTTGGAAGTTTCTCTACATTTGTCACTTTCACATAAATACACATCTGAATCTGGAGATAATGGTCACTCATAATAAGCTCATTTAAAAATGAAAAGTCTTTAAGCTTGGTAATAAAATAAACTAATTCAATAAATGTCTGGCTGGGTTCCTTCTATACATTCCTAAATCTACTATGGAATTCATTGGCCTCTTTGAAAGTGTAAGCAACGGCCTATAGCCATTCAAGCAAACCATAAAGTCTCAGAAGCCTTATTTGACAACATCGTGACAAGTATTGCTAACAATAAAAATGGTTCAACTTCTCACTGATTCTAAATAATAAAAGTTTCACCCTTTAAGTGAACCAGCAGTACTTAAGTATTCCAGGCAGTATATAAGTACCACCAACATATAGGCTTTATTAACGTACAGTATTGTTAATGAATGTGGTGAGAATACTTCAAAGTTTGTATATATATATAATAGATCTATAATTTGCTTTAGTTCCTCCAAGAAGTACAAGTTTCTGCAGTGCTCCAACAACGAAGGCACATTTTCTTTCTTGTTAAATTACTGAAATATTTATGTTTTTCAGTTATTTCACACCAAAAATCATTTTATTTTTACGGACTCTATTTCATGCTAACATAGTTTTATGTAAATGTTAATAAATGATTATTCAAATGGCTGTTTTACATATTCAACGTAAAAAAGTAATAAGATAAGGAATGATATGGAGGTGAGCGCCATCTATGAGTTAACAGCACTACTAAACCTTCATCACGGGGTACAGGGGAGAGTTGGAGGTGAGCGCCATCTATGAGTCAACAGCACTACTAAACCTTCATCACGGGGTACAGGGGAGAGTTGGAGGTGAGCGCCATCTATGAGTCAACAGCACTACTAAACCTTCATCACGGGGTACAGGGGAGAGTTGGAGGTGAGCGCCATCTATGAGTTAACAGCACTACTAAACCTTCATCACGGGGTACAGGGGAGAGTTGGAGGTGAGCGCCATCTATGAGTTAACAGCACTACTAAACCTTCATCACGGGGTACAGGGGAGAGTTTCTCGTCTGGTGGTTCTTGGATCCATCACCAGCTGGAGCCACAAGACAGAGGAAGAAGGTGGAGGACGGACCAAGTGTACCACGATCTGACAGCCCCGAAAATATCGGCCTGAGGCATCGGTAAGACATTTATTCATAATATTATACCAGATATTTAACATTAATAATACTAAGAAGTTATTGGAGAATTATTATGGTTAGACAGAGTGTATTTAATGGTTAATTTAGTTAATTGTGCTGGGTCATCTGGTGGAGGTGGTGAAGTACTGTATTGGTATATTTCCACTTTTTGCCGCTATATGACATCAAAATTTAAAGTATGTTTTTCCGGTGGTTTTTGATGTAATGAACGAATTTGACCTTCATTTGTGGCGCAAATCACTAGTTTTGAGATAAGCCCCTGGTGAATTAATATAAGTGGACAACCATGGAGTTGTTGATCAATGTGTTGTTCCATTGGCTGTCCTCGGGTTTTGTAGAATGTTTTTTTTCGAGATTTTTCAGTGTTGTACTCAAGTGTGCCCTTTTCTTTTGTAAAGTAACGTGTTTTGCAAAAAAAGAACATTTTCAATTTTAACAAACTGCTAATTTTGCCAATAAAATAGAGGTCAAATTTGAGTAAAACACCAAAGTACACCAAAAACTAATTCTCATACCAAAGAACCTACCTAACCTAACCTACGAGGAGGAGACGAGTTAGGAGTATAACCTCGGGTAAACATGGCGGGAACCTGCGGACAGCCAATGGACCAATATTAACCCACTTTTCTTCAGTGACGTTTCCCTCACAAATGACTTAAATATAGCAGGGAGATTAGGTAATTTTAAGTAATTTCTGAGGAAAACGTCGTAGAAGAAACGTGTTTTAACATTGTCTAAACTATTGGAAAAACACATTGCTCAACAAAAAGTCAATGGCTGTCCACTTGTAAAAATTTACCACCCTGCTCCTCAGAAACTAGAGCTGTAAGAATCGAGGTAAAAACTGTCCAAAATGCACAAAAACCCATCGGAAAAAGTTTTGGATTTAACCTAACCTAACCAAACATAAACTAACGTGGGTGTGTACCTTCATGAACAGACATGCATAATGAACTGTTAAATATCTCGCTTAAATGTATTTTGTTCCAGAAATGTTATTGAAGAAAATTGTCTTAGAATTGTCAAAATTACTGATTGAAATTATAAAATTCCCGAGATTCGTTTAGCGACTAGGTTTTCCCTAGTGTATTATGTTTTTCGAGCAATTCTAACCTTCATTTCTGGTATAAATGAGCCGTTATGGAGATATGACCTCAGTTACCGGGACGAGTTTGATTTTGTTCATTTTTTCCAGATGATGATGATGTTATAGAATTTTAAGAGGCGACATTTGCTAGAAGCTAATACTGTACTGTATAATCTGATGTAATATAACCAACCAAAGCGACCTACCTAACCTTACCTAACTTCCTAGCCAGGGCGTGGAATTGCCATATTAAACAAAGTACCTGTACTTATTTTGATATCTGGTACCAACGAAAGCAACTTTATAGAAGCGTCACGGTGTAATTTGTATTTTTGTGGATGCAAGAGTGCGCTCGGACTCGGCGAGGCGGCTATAAAGAAACGCGACGCGGCGAATCTGCCAATTTTTTGGAGGAGTGTTTACGGTAAATGTAATTATGCGCCACAGAACACGGAGAGACATCGTTTTAGTGTCGCGTGCTCGGTTTTTCAGTGTTTTCCCCCCATTTCCTCCAACGTTCATTCCTTGCCCATTACAGGTGATTTAAGATCATATAAAAAATGAATAAAAAAGTGCTTTTAATTAAAATAAAAAGTTGTCGCCTCTTTTAAAATATAATAATAAGAACACTTATGGAAAATATGAACCAAATCGGAAAAACTCTTGCTGGTGGTAGTGGTGTTCTGAGAAAAAAAGAAAAAACCTAACCTAACCTAACCTTTCCTATCCCGTAACACTTCAAATAATATATTAAGGTTATTTTATTTAACTGATGGTAAATGAAAAAGTTATTTCATTAATGTTTGTCAGTGAGTCATTAGCATTTATAGGTCACTAGGGAAGCTGGAATACGTTTAAGAAACTAATTTGCAATCCCAATAGATTTGAACTGTCCTCTGATTGGTCACAGCAGATTATGTGAAATTCAAACGAAAGGAATTTAGGTATTAAATTGGGCAAAAGTTTTTGCCCGCTAGTGCAATAAGAATCCGTCAATATTGTCGTAACTTCGTCTTATTTTGGTCACGTCCACAAAATGTAACCGCGATGCGTCGCGTAAGAAACCGGGTGTGCCAATTCATTTTTTGTGCGTCCGTCACAAAAGGTTAGATAGGGTTTTCAATTTTGTTTAACCTTTCATGTTGAAAGTGTAATTCAGTTTGGAAGAATGATTGTTGTTGTTGTTGTTTCTAGTGTTAAAGGAAATAAAGGTCACACGTTTCTATTAGAAAAAGCAAAACAAAATAAAAACACGGAAAATTGCAGTTTCGGCGAAGCGCCGAGGTCAGACTCATTCTAAACACATCAAAAACTATTGGAAAAACCTAATTTCAACCTAACCTAACCGATTTGAGAAATCAGTTTCTCTATGTGGTATTAAACAAACAAGTGCCTTTGTTATAAGTGTACGAAGTTGTTATTGGACCAAATAAACCGTCGGCTATTTGACCGGGACCTGCGAGGATCGTACGCATACGATTTTAATGGGATTGTAGTCGGGATGATTGTGGGCATTAAACAAGTCATTACACTGTGGTATTATTTAATTGTAGAAGTTTCTGTGGGCAAAAGTATTGTTTTATTTTAGATCTCGGTCAAATAATCTCCATGGCAAGCTCAGACTCCGTTAACGGACAAACGCCGCCGACCCGCGGGAGGCGAGACCGACGTCGTCACTTCACGTCGCGTCGTCGGGTGTACGAGTCGAGTGCATTAGAGTACTTGTATTTAAGTGCACTTGTACAGTAATCCTATAAAAGTGGGCATTTTCATAAATGTTTGTGTCTAAAAGTCAGGTCCCATTGGCGTCGGCGGTACGCGACACGTCAAAACTGTGGCCCAGATTCACGTTTTCCATCCCATACCAAATTTTGAATGTGTGTTTATTTTGTTTTTCTTTAAAGTACAGTACAGTATAATATATTAATAACTTTTAGTTTCGTTTTTAAAGCCTAATTTCATTGTTACAGTATTAATTATGTTACTCTACAAATACTGTGCTACTTTTTCTACTTGTATGATTCAGTTGAGCTAATTAAACTTTTATTTGCATAGTGTTGAAGAAGACTACAGTCCATAGTTTAAATTTTTACATAACAGTGCAGTACTTTATCTTAAGTAATATTTTCAGGCACTTTCTCCATCACTGCCTAAAGTGGACCTGAACCTTTGGACCTGATGTGAACTAGAATGAAGTTGGCTGGACCTCAAGTACTCTGTGGTATTGTATTTAATATTGTTGTGGTACTTTGAATGTTAGGAAAGTTCTACAGGCATTCCCCAGTTTATAAGAGTATTATGCCTTAAAAACCTATATTAAATCGAATCAATATTCCTATAGACGCGCATTATAAAAGCCAAGATACTTTTCTACAATGAAAAAAGTTCCACCCAAATTATGTACGGTCCCCCAAAAACTATCGATAGATTTTCTTGCGGTAAAATTTGAAACTCTAGATGAAATACATTGATGTGATCCCCATTGCGTCAGCATAAGTCGGTACGCCCGCTCACTGTATCGGCAACAGCTATAGACGGCGGGTAGCGAGGGAGTCATCCTCGTGTGACATACAACTGTATATGCTTTACTATAACAAGAAATTCATTAAGCTATATTAATGTATGTATCGTGCTGGGTAGAAACAAGGCCTCAACCGAGGATTACAATAATATCAAAATATACGCTAAATGAAAGAGTTTTGGAACGTCGCAACCGAGACGGACCTCGAGGCGGACATTTCACCACCACCACGTAAATGGTATCGGTTTAACGTCACAATAAGAATTTAAATCGGCGCGTCGCCGGTCGTTTCGTGGCGGCCGACCCATCGCGATATCGCCGGTTCGCTCGCCCCGTTGCGTCTTTCCGATAATTCCTCGGTTCGTTTGACGTAAGATCCCATTAATGACCGGCACGGCGTCGGCGTCCATTCACGACACGCAATCTCAATTCGCGTAACGTGCGATCGGAAGCCTCGGAGGATTCGCATCTCTCAAAAACATATGTATACTCATTCGTGCTCAAAGGTGTAGACGTAGAGTTAGCAACAGTTCTGAAACGGGTCGTGTAACGTCGGTCGAATAGCCTCGAATCACGTCGACCCCGTGGCTAAAGATATTATTTTGGGGTGACCGTACACGTCGATTATAAGCCAATACAGGAGCTTCTCGACAGACAGATGGCGGCTTCCTCGCCTCGATGAACCAACCAATCCTTTAGAGATAACGAGCACAGTAGAAAGCCATGTACCGTATATAGCCAGCACATTACGGTACAGTCGGTCCCCGACTGACGACGGGGTTAGGGACCGGCGACCGGGTCGCAAGTCGAAAATAATACCGTACATAGAAAATCTAAAACGGTGTCTTCTTCGCACCACGAACCGCCATACTCTGATTACCATTATCGGACTAAGAAATTGACGCAACCGGTAACGCGAAGAACAGGTAATTGGACAACATTTTTGGTACAGAAGTTTCGCTATAACGCCGAGCACTGCGTCGCGATCGCCAGAAATAATACGGTGGCTTTTGAGGGAGAAAATAGGGTTAGGTGCAGATTACTCGAAATCGAAAAATTTAGTAGTTAGCCTAACACAAAGGATAGCACAGTCTAAATAAATGTTACATTCATATCTAATAATGAAATCATACAGTAAATGTAACACTTTACTTGATGGGGGAGAAGGGTGATTTTGAGGTTGATAAAATCGAGCTTCTCTTCAAGTGTTATATCCTTTCTTTTACGATCATCACTGGGAATTCTATCACCAGAACTATTTTACGATGATTCTTTTCAAATATATCAGCAGTTATATTAAATGGTATAAAAATCGGGTGTTATAAAGGAAACGAAGCGTCATGTTATACAAATGTCGTTCCTAATTCATAAATCGCGTCAGAGCAAATTCGCGTTATCAAAACACGCGTTATAGCAGAACTCACTGTACCACCGAGGCGGTCGTAAGTCGAGGAGTAGCTGTATTTAACTAATGATAAAAAAAAGTTATTTCTTTAATGTTTTGTTTTTGTGTTTTAATGTTTTGTCGGCGAGTCGGTTCTCGTCTTCAACATTTAGGTCACGAGGGAGGCTTGAATATATCTAGAAAAAAAGTTTTTGCTCCTGCGTAAATATCACAATAGATTTGCACTGTCCTCTGATTGGTCACAGCAGAGAGATTTAAATAATAAATCCTGCAAAATTGTGCCTTTCTCCCGGCAGCACGATAAGATTCCGTCGACGTCGTCGCAGTTTCGTTCTACGTCGGTCACGTCCACGAAATGTAAACACTATCGGACTGTACGAAACCCGGTATGCCGATTAAATTTTTGCTCGTCCATTGCAAGAAGTTAGGTAGTTTAGATTAGGTTAGGTAGGGTTTTCAATGTTGATTTTTAACCCTTCATGTTGAAAGTCTAATTCACTTTGGAAGATTCATTGTTTTTGTTAGTGTAAGGAAATGAAGATCATATTTATTTATTAGAAAAAATCCAAATAAAAACTGGTAAAATTATCGTTTTGGCCGTGCACCTATTTTCCGAAAGTCATAATCGTTCAAAATATCCATAAAAACCGTTGGGAAAAGATAATTTCAACCTAACGTAACCTATTTGAGTAATCGGTTTGTCAATGTGGTGTTAAACTAATAAGTAACGTTTATTTTTAATACGAAGTTGTTATTCGACCACGATTCTGGGCCAAATAACCGTCGGCTATTTGACCGGGACCTGCGGGGATCGTATGGGATTTTAATGGGATGGTTGGGGGCATTAAACAAGTCATTACATTATGGTATTATTTAATTGTATAATTTCTGTTGACAAAAGGATTTAGTTTTATTTTAGATCTCTGTAAAATAACCGGCGGTTATTGTGCCGAGTACCGGTCAGATAATCCCTGCCTATAATTTAATAGTTTTACAGTGTTGTGTATTATATAGCTATTGGTCACATTTCCAGGAAGCTTCAAGGACCAACAACACATCTCGGTATGACAAGTCGAGACTCGACCGTACAGACCCGTCCGGTCTCGCACACGACGCCGTTAACGGCAAACGGAGAAACGCCGCCGGGAGGTAATTCCGACGTCGTTACTTCACGTCGTGTCATTGGGCGTAAAAGCCGAGTGTATTAGAGTACAGGTTGTATCTCTCTAGTCCGGCATTCTGTGGTCCGGAACGATTTTAGTTTGTCCAATAGGTAGATAGGCAGCTTTTTTTTTTATCTGAATTATTATTATTATTATTACAGGAGTATTAAATTTTTGCTCCTCAGGCCCCAATGTGGGTCAGTGACCTATGCCCGGGTGGGCTAATCCCCGTAAAAAAAAAAACAACAACAACAACAAAGCCGGGGGAAATTAAGGTTTGTTTACATCCGGCAGCTCTCTCTCTCTGCTTGTCTATACAGAGTACAACATTTAACCCTTCAATATATATTTTAGTTGTCAATAAGTGTTGCTTTCATATTCTTAAGTAGAAAGTAAAATGACTCTGATATTGCCACGCAGACCATAGTATGAGTTTCACCAGTTTTGAATTGGCTGATACATGATTTGATTAGTTCTGACGACAATACAGATTAAACATTACTCAGGTCGGATCCGAAAATTTATATAGGCCAATTTTAAATAATAATCAGGCCTTTCAGTTTGAAACCGAACGTCGACCAAACATTACCAATTATATGAACAGTAATGTTACCCGATGATGGTCGCCAGATTTATTTATTGTTATTACTTTATATTATTGTCGATACTTAAAAGAACCATATTAATTTTACTACAGCTACAACCAGGGTCTTATTTTCTTCAGTTTTATACGTAGAACCGGTCAGTCGCCGGTTTTGTAATCGACGAAAACAGTGCCGTCTCATTTCCTCGCGTTTTAATATTGAACGTATTATTAATGAATTGTATTGCTCATTTTGCTCACACAAACATTAATTCAATCAAAAAGACTTTCAGTAATAAACAATAATTAATCTTTTGTACATAAGAGAAATAACGCCGTTTACACGATCGTGCACGTCGTCAGAACGTCGGCGGGCCGTTCAAATCCGTCGAAATTCGAGTTTCCTCCGTCAAAAGTTTTATGCGTGTTTTTTTTTTTGTGCGTTCGAATAGAAAACGTCGAATTAAAAACTCGCGAAATTTGAGAAGCTACTGTACGACATTTAACCCTTGAATATGTCTTCAAAGAGACCACGAAGCAGAGAAAGTGGTGCTAGTGCTTCCAAGTGTAAACAGAAGTCACTATCTATCCAGGAAGAGGGCGAATTTCCACGGTCCGGGAATTTCCAGCGTCCGGCACCGGTCGGGTCCCGAGGTTGCCGGACCAGAAGTACAACCTGTACTTGTATTTCAGTACACTTGTACAGTAATCCTATAAAAGTGGGCATTTATGTAAATGTTTGTGTGTAAAGTCACGTCCCATTGGCGTCGGCGGTACGCGACACTTCAAAAATATGGCCCAGATTCACGATTTCCATCCCATACACAATTTTGAATGTGTGTTTATTTCGTGTTTCTTTAAAGTACAGTACAGTATATTAATAACTTTAAGCTTCATTTTCAAAACACAATGTCATTGTTTATTAATTATGATACTCTACAAATGCTGCGGTACTTTATATACTTTTTTCTACTTATATGAATCAGTTGAGTTAATTAAACTTTTATTTGCATAGTTTTGAAGAAGACTACAGTACATAGTTTAAATTTTTACATATCAACAGTGCAGTACTTTATCTCAAGTAATATTTTCAGGCACTTTCTCCATCACTGCCTACAGTGGACCTGATGTGAACTAGAATGAAGTTGGCTGGACATAAAGATTACTGGACCTCAAGTACTCTGTGGTATTGTATTTAATATTGTTGTGGTACTTTGAATGTTAGGAAAGTTCTACAGGCATTCCCCAGTTTATAAGAGTACTGTGTCTTACAAAAGCCTATAGTAAATCGAATCAATATTCCTATAGACTCGCATTATAAAAGCCAAGATACTTTTCTACATTGAAAACAGTTCCCCCCCAAATGATGTACGGTCCCCCAAAAAGTATCGATTGAATTTTCTAGATGTAAAATTTGAAACTCTAGATGAAATTCTTTGCTGTTATCCCCAGTGCATCGGCATAAGTTGGTACAGGTACAGCCGTTCACTATATGAGCAATAGCCATAGACGGCGGGTAGCGAGAGAAGGAGTCATCCTCGTGTGACATACGACCGTACAGTATATGCTTTACTATAACAAGAAATCCATTAAGCTATATTAATGTAAAGAAGCCCTTGACCGAGGATTACAATACATTAAACGGAAGAGTTTTGGAACGTCACGAGCGAGACCGAGACGGACCTCGGGGCATACGTTTCGCCACCGTGTCGTAGTGACGGTTTCATTCGTACGGAGATGCACAATATAGTCGTCGACGACACGTCTGATTTTTGAGGAGTGACCGAGCAAATAGTAGTTGATATTAGAGTGAACAGCTACAGCAATATACAATATATCGGTGTAAATGGGATCTGCCAAATATTATTGATACGTAAATGGTGTCGGTTTAACGTCAAAATAAGATTTTAATCGGCACGTCGCCCGTCGTTTAGCGGCGGGTAACCCATCGCGATGCCCGAGGGTTCGCTCGCCCCATTCTGCCGAGTTATCGAGCGTTGCGTGTACCCTCGTCGCGAAGGCCAATAATAGCACCTCTCGCCCCGTTGCGTCTTTCCGATAATTCCTCGGTTCATTTGACGTGAGATCCCAGTGTAATGAGACAAACTCACAGAGAAGAGAATTACATATAAGTAGGAAGAATAGAGAGTAGGGATGTAAAGATCGGAAACTTGGTAGCGTGGCCGGGATGTTATTTACTCGGCGTCGGTACGCTTATCTTATCTCGTATGTCAATACACATATATCACTTCTTAAAGGGACACCTTGTTAAACACGTCTTCGATACTTTAATTCACTCAATGACATGGACACATTAATATCACTATTATATCGGGGTACTAACACATTACGTTTTACGTTACTCGACACCGACTCTCGGACACACCCGAATGAATACACTTCCCACAGTAGGTAACTCACCCTAGGACGTTCTGACAAGACTCACGCGTACCCTGACGTAGGCCCAGCGAGTGCTGGCTGGGCTGCCTCCTATGGGAGAACCCGCTTAGCTGGCGATGCCGTGGTCCGGTCGGGAAGTCCCCCTCCCGACCCGGGGAGGGGACGTGCGTGACTCCGCTCGGCGAACCGAGTGACGACCCGAACGGGAGAGAGACGACAGCAACCAGAATGAGAATCAGTATGACCAGAATGACGGTGGACGGGACCGTAGGGCCTTTACGTGGGGTCGGCCCAACCGGCTTTTGACCTCTAACCAATTATCACTAAACTGGTTAGATCTGGATAGCTGTGTGCAGGTGTGGTCCTGCCCAGGTGTCTTGGTTAGGTGAGGTTGTAGGTCACCCGGCTAACTCACGTCATTAGCGGCGAGGTCAAGTACCTAGGGTCGACCCGAGGTGTGTCAACCCGGAATGTGGCGGTACCACGAGGTCTGTAGTGTGCTTGCTGTTATATGTGACATAATTCTGGGCTGTAAGCTTCGGTCTGACAATGAATCATTACATCAGTAATGACCGGCACGGCGTCCATTTACGACACGCAATCCGAATTCGTGCGATGCGAATCCTCGGAGGATTTGCATCTTTCAAAAACATACACGGTCGTGCGCCGGTTAACGTCCGATAGCATATACGTCCGTGCCCCCTCCCCCTCGAAAAAACACTTCCGTGACGCCTGCCGGACCACCACTCCGGGACCCCCCGACGGAGACACGACGATCCTTCCCGTACTGGCTAGATGTTATGTGTAAAAGGAATATCATTCCTTAGGCTTTAGTAAGCATTTTCCTCCAGGTGTAATGTTAACCTACATCTATTGAGGATAAAATGTTTCACCTACAAATTGACAATAACACATTTGCTGTAATCGGACATATCTAGTTGTCTCAACAAATTGGGGTTGCAATTTGAAATTCTGTGTCATTACCGAGGAATAACGAAGTCTCTGGTGCACTGCACTCTAAGATTAAGAGAAAATGGACTCGGGCATCCCGAAGCGAGAGAAAACGGACTTCCACGACGGGAGACGCAAGCACTAACACGTGCCACTCGTGCCGAGAGACTCGACAAGTTTTACCAACCATTAGTTATGTACGTTATCGAGTGAATTTAGTCAATATTGTACAGTATAAGTACACTGCAATACAGCGGTCCCTCGATTAACAATGGACCTAAGTGCAAACCCGTACTGTACGTGTACCAAACGATCGTGGTACTTAAATTGTTATGTCTATGGCAAATACAGATTGTTTATACAGATATTCAAATACCATCTTACAAGAATCCCAGCAATGTAAGTTATATTCAACCAGGTCGTTTGGGTGGCAAATTATGAGAAGAGCTCAGTCACTCTCAAGTAATGATAAATAAACACTCGGGCAGGCCTTCAGCGCCAACTGTCAAATCGTATCTCAAATAAATAAAGACACTCTGTCACCTCACTTCCCCCCCTCCCCCTTCTTCCCACGCTCGCTGGCTACCTCCCTCCTTGTGTTCCCAGACAAAACATTGGTGAAAACTTTATGCTTTAAGGTGTTTATTTTATATAATATCTCAGACTAAAGTTAGGGGATTACAATTTGCATAGCTGGAATCCTTGCAAGACAGCCAATAATTTGAATATAAACATTATATATATTTTGTTGAAGATATAAAAATTGTAGTACATTTTACAATATAAAGTTTTTCAACTGTATTTTTGGGTAGATTTATATCAATTTCTTAATTTATTTTCATCCATTTACACGCACACACCACAATAAAAGAAACGTAAAAGAAATAAACGACCTCGGTGCAAAGCCGGAATGTTCTTGTACTAATTTGATTACGGTACAAAAATTGTTTTGTCCGGTGCAAATTACAGCATGTTTATATTTAAATTAATCAGTATGTTACAAGAATCCCAGCAATGTAAATTATATTGTACCAGGTCATTTCACTGTCATTTTAAAATGAGAGAAGCTCAGTAGGACTGTTAAATAAACACAGAGAGACCTTCGGCTCAAACGTATCGTCTTAACTCTCTCCCCCATCTGTTCAGCCAGGGTTTTAGGCTTTCAGTTTTTATCTTACATAATATTTCAGAGTAAAGTTAGGAGATTATAATTTGCATTGCTGGAATCCTTGCAAGACAGCCAATAATTTGAATGTAAACTTCATATATTTTGCTCGAGAGATAAAAATTGTTGTACATTAGTGTACAGTATTGTAGTACATTTTATAATATAAAGTGTTTCAACTGTATTTTTGGGTAGATTTACATGAATTTCTTCATTTATTTTCATCCATTTACATGCACACACCATACTAAAAGAAATAATTGACCTTAGTGCAAAGCTGGAGTTTTGTTGTATACTAATTTGATTTGGGTACTAAAATTGTTATGTCTACTGGAAATTATAGCACGTTTATATACAAATTAATCGGTACGTTACAAGAATCCCAACAACGTTAATTATATTCACCCGGGTAAAAATGCGCCACAGACCCGGGCGCCAACCGTCGGTGTCGCCGGGCTTTATCTTAAATAATATCACAGACAAAAGTTAGGAGAATTTACTTTGCATTGCTAAAATCGTTACAAGACGGCTAATAATTTTAATATAAACGTTGTATATTTTGCACAAGAGATAAAAATTTGTAGCCCTTTGTAATAAAATTAGTTACAACTAAAATTTGTATGTGAACTATAGCATGTTTCCATTCAAAGTAATCACAATTTTATAAGAATTTCAGCAATGTTAATTATATTCTTCCAAGTCAGTTTAGTGATATTTCATAAGAGAAAAACTGAAAGTCACTGTTAAGGACAGATAAATAAATAAGCTCTAGACCTTGGCATCGACTGCCACGAATCCGATCACGAGTAAACGGGCCATTTCGCGTCTCGTAATTTTAGCCGCGTCGATTTACGAGCGTCCGTTTTAACGCGATACTACAAAAAATGACGTTTTGTGGGAGATGGGCCGAGGTGCACTTGGGTATACTCGGTCTATTTAGTATTTTGTGTTAGTCTCGAGTACCAAAGTAAATTGTTCCATTGAAACCACTTTAATTGAGTCCGAATTTGGTTTAAAGCTATTAGCTCTCTAGGAATGCGTCTCGCGTCACATCGACGTCGTACCGTACGTGCATCGGTAACCGACACGTACACGGGACCGGTAACAATTTTACGTAAATGCGTCGACGACGAAGAGAGGTCTATCGTAATATTCGATAATGCCGTCGGGTCGTCGGCGTACCGTTTCTACGTTTAGTAAATAGTCGTGGCGATTTTTATCGCGCGCGTCCGTCGACGGGCACGCCGAGGGCGGTCCGTCACCGACCGCTCGAGATTCGGCCTCTATTGTGCAGTCGTACGGTCCGTCGTCGTTTGCGAGAAGTACTCGTTTGCTAAGTCTCGCGTGGAGTATATTGCAATTTTTAGCAATAGACCAGTTATGATCGTAGAGTAGTTCCATCACGTAGGGTATCGTCTCGCCGTCGGCCCGGGACACACCTCCGGCTACTCGACACTCCGCTTACCGGTACACGACACAAATTAAAAATTATCAACACGATATTTTATGAGGGCATTATGATTGATTTATAATACCCTATACAATGGTTGTATAGATGTAGTGCAGTATAATTATTAAATGCAGGCAGCATTCACATCACAAACTTAACCCACAGAAGAAGTCGCCTCGGGCAACGGCAGCAGCGGAAGCGCGATCCGGGAGACGGACACGAAGAACGACCTCCGCGGAACGACCGTAGATCGTCGCTCCGTCATCGCTCCGGAGAGTGCCGCTCTCCGACGTAAGATAATCGTCGAGAATAACCTACGCGTTTTTGTATTTTTATGGATGCTATTTTAAGGATAACTAAAGCTCAGTCAATGGTTATTTTAGCTTAAGGTCATATTATACGTGTGTTTGTAATGTACAGTATTTCATTAAGTAAGAATGCTAAAAGTTGCCCGACGGTCGACCAACAAAACAACGGCGGCGACGCGCTCCGGCACTCGAGAAGACGGAAGCTCCGAGTACACGACGTTAAAGATTAACAG